CATTGCCCAATGGTTTCCTTGTGATTTAAACCCATATTTGTGGAGTTTCATGGCTTTGAGGGCCTTGGAAGGTACTTTTTTGTGCTCCAACTGTAGGTCCAGCAATTCTTATGATTCTTGGGTAGATTAAATATTGTTTTGAAATAGTAGTTGTGTTTCTTGTGATTCTGGTGCACCCGCAGCTTTTTTTGTGCTCCAACAGTAGGGCCTTGGAAGTGTTTTGAAATGCTTTCATTCTCCTCTAGGTTAAAGTTTTGGTTCTATAGATGTCGCCTTTTTTGCGACTACAGCTTATTTCTCCCCAAAGACGGCAGCTGGAGAATTTGGATGAGACAAGTCTGGAGTTGTTCTCCCATCAGTCTCGTAAATGCCTTTCTTTCCATTGAAATAAGAGTAGGAAAATAATAACGAATTACAAGTCTATTCAAGAAGACAGAAGGATAAGATTATCTCTATTCCACCACCATGCGTAAAGGTTTCCTCGGGTTCAAGTAATCTTGCATTACTTTTTGTTCTTGATTTCAAGTTTGATATTCTTATTGATCTTCGTCAAGGTGTTCAAGCTTGCACTCAATGTCCTATATCCAATTTTGTATCTCTATATCACCTCTCACCTCATAATTTATGGGAAGCACTTAATGATCTTAAGTGGAAGGGAGCAATGCGTAAATAAATGAATGCACTTCAAAAGAATAATACTTGGGAATTAGTTCAATTACCTAATGGGAAGAAGCCACTCAGATGTAAATGGTTGTTTGTGGTAAAACATAAGGTTGATGGTTCAGTTGAAAGATAAAAGGTCAGATTGATGGCAAAAAATTTTAGCCAGACTATTGGGATTTGACTACTAAGAAACATTTGCCCTGAGAGCTGGGTGGAGCCAAAAAATCATTTTTGGGTGGACCCCGGACATTTCAATAAGGTTTTAATTTTTTTCCTCACAATCTACAAAAGTAAGATAATACATTTAATACTTCAAAATTTCCTTAAAGTCAAAATGCCAAAAAAGGTGTCATTTAAAAGCATTTAGCCTTGATAAATTTTCTCAATAGGGGCATTCAAAATCAAGCACCCAACAATATTCATAATTGATTAAGAATCAATAATAAAATATTGAACATGGAAGAAAAACATTGTCGAAACATAGCATTGTTATTGAAAGAAGATATTTGCAGCTTCAAGAATCAAGGAGCCCTCAATGGGTTACGATACAACTAGAGGATTTTAAGAAGTCTTTAAACACATTAATGTAATACCAACTTAACAAATAAAATAATTTTGAAGAGCAAAAAATTCTACATGAGCTTTTACAAATAATAATAATAATATATATAAATAAAGAGTAATGCTATTTGAACTTAAAAATTTGACCTAATTTGCTGATATAATGATGTGGTTTCAGTATAACCATTAGATCAACACCAAGTTCCAATGTTTGATAAGCCCCACAATCAATTTAAAAGTTATACTGAATTAGGTCAACAAATTGGGTCAATAAATTAGGTCCCAATAACATTACTTATAAATAAATAATAGACTGACTCGGAAAGTGTGAATAAGTTAATAATGAATGGGCCAAGAAGTGTAAGTAAATAGAAAGTGGGCTCATTATATAGGTCATGGCCTTCACGGGTGGGCACCATTGCATCATGGGTGCGCACCATTAGCTAGCACCACTAAAATAAGCTTAAAGATTATAATACATGGGTAATAACAAGAGAATTTTTTAGGGTGGGCTAGTGCCCCCTCGGGGCCAGTACTAGCTCCGCCCATGCCTGATAACAAAGATAAATTCTATCCATGTCTTTCTTTCCTTGGATGCAAATCAAGACTGGCCTCTTCAATAGTTTGATATTAAAAATGCATTTCTACACAGGGACGTAGAGGAAAAAGTATACAAGGATGTTCCACCGATTTTAAACTTGCCATTGATGGTAGTAAGATATGTAGACTGAAAAAAATCGTTGTATGAATTAAAGCAAAAACATGGTTCGAGAGGTCTACCCAAGGATCAAAATGTCGTGTCGACACGTCCGAAACTTCCGAAACGTTTCGGAATTTCAACACTCCGAAACGAAACAGTAGTTGAATCACAAAATTCTAGTGTTTCGGTCAAAACGGTACTGTTTCGGACCGTTTCGGTCGAAACGGCATTGTTTCGACAAAACAGTGATATATTCGGTTCATTATGAATAATTACATTTAATACCCCATTATAATTACATTTAATACCCACTGTAATTACATTTAATACTCACTATAATTATATTTAATATCCCACTATAATTACATTTAATTCTCACTGCTCTTCTGTCTTTTATAATTTTTTTGTTATAAGAATAAATAATTACACTTAATACCCTACTATAATTATATTTAATACCCATTATAATTATATTTAATACCTCACTGCTGTGCAAGTTTTTTGCTTTTTTTTTTTTTGTTATAAGTATTAACAATTACATTTAATACCCTAATGTAATTATATTTAATACCTACTGTAATTACATTTAATACCCACTACAATTACATTTAATTTTTAAGTATACATAAGTATCATTAATTTAATTTGATACCCTTCATTATTAGTATTATAATAAAATAGTATTATTAATTGGATTATATTACCGTAATAATATGATTTGGAGTAACTATTGTCATCATATTTATATCACATATGGAGTTTCTCTAAGTAGCTACCCAGAGCCTACACCGATGTATGAGCCTGCTCGACACTCCACAGGGGAATGGATGTAACCACGTAAGTATGTACTCATTAGCATTTCATGTGTATTATAAGACCTTAATATTATGTAAAAATGTGTTTATTTCATAAAAATTAAGTGTTTGAAACTAATTTAAGTGACTTTCGCCTCAAGTCAAGCCTTTTTTTCCCTCAAATTTAAATTTATTCTTGTATAAATTGATGTTAACCTAATAAATATGTTGAATTAATAAATTATTTAGCATATCTTTATAAATTAATGGATTGCATTTGTGTTTCTATGCGTTTCCATATTTTTTCTGCGTTTCCGAAATGTTTCCGAAACGTTTCTATTTTTGAGTCGACCGAAACGGTACTTCGAAACGAAATTTTGATCCTTGGGTCTACCCAAGCTATGGTGAGGTATGGTTATCATCAAAGCCATGGTGATCATACATTATTTGCTAAACATTCTTCTTATGAGAATGTGATTGTACTTATTATATATGTTAATGATATTGTAATCACTGGTGATGATGTGAAAAAGATTATGAAATTGAAGACCTATTTAGCTCAAGAATTTGAGATAAAGGATTTAGAAAGCCTATAATATTTCTTGAACATTGAGGTTAAGATATCTAGAGTATCTTTATTTCACAACAAAAGTATGTGTTTGATTTCCTTAACAAGACTTGTGTGCTAGGATGCAAGCCGGTTATTTCTCTGATTGAGCAGAATTATATGTTGGGAAAGAGTGTTGATGATACTTATGTAGATAAAGGTCAATATTAGAGACCCAGTGAGTCTCATATGGAGGTAGTTCTTCGAATTCTGAGGTACCTTAAGGTAGTATTTGGTAAAAGGCTACTTTTTTCGAGACATGATGATCTGCACATGGAAGCCTATTCAATTGTTGACTGAGCTGGATTGATTACAGACAGAAGATCAATTTTTGGTATTGTACCTTTGTAGGAGGAAATTTGGTGTCATAGCAAAGAACAGTCGGTTGTGACCAGATCTAGTGTAGAGGTAGAATTTAGAGTTATGGCTCATGATATCCATGAATTACTGTGGTTGAAATCCATATTAGAAGAGTTTGGTTTCAATTTTGAGGAGCAGATGAGCTTGTATTTTGATAATAAGGCAGCAATTAGCATTACTCATAACCTAGTTTAGCGTGACAGAACCAACCATATCGAGGTTGACAAGCACTTCATTAAAGAAAAACAAAATGTTGGCTTAATTTGTGCTCCATTTGTGAAGACAAGGAAGGGATCAACTTGCAGGTATTTTGACAAACAAAAGGAGTACTTAGTAAGTGTTTCATTCGATCTTGGCAAGCTAAGCATGTGTAATATCTTTGCACCAGGTTGAGAGGGAGTGTTGGAGTGTTTTTAGCCATTTATTTTTATGGTAATTATTATGGAGAGTATTTTTGTCAATATGATATTAAAGTTATAAATATAAGTTAAAGAGGGAGAGAACCCCAATAGTCTCCTTTCTCAACGTCTTTTCTTTTTCCTTCTCTTGCTCCTTTTTTCTTTTCGTTTCTCCTTTTTCAATATATCCAACCCCATATAAGGGAATAAGGCATCATAATTGATCAGAAACATTACTTATTTGCATATAAAATCATGTCGCATGTTCATTAACCTCCCTCAAAATAACTCATGCCTTTCTTAGGTCTGTAATGCCCACATATATGGGGGCGCATTTCATCAGCTACAAACAGATTTCGTAATGAGTAGATACTTCCTCAGGAGCATAATCGATTTTCTGGTGAAATACATTACGAAATGTTTTTCCATACTTTCTTCATTTAGTTCTAGCTATTTCTGCATCTTCTAATTGACCTGAACAACATATACGGATCCCTATGATTGCATGAACAGTCAAACTAGAATGATATTTACATAAAGATCAATGAATCAATACCCAGATGGGAAGGGTTATGATGCATTTGCTTATCAACAACTTTTAGCATTATATATAGAACAAAGGAAATACTAAAAACAAAAGAAACGTTTATAGAGCATTATCTGGTTGGAAGCCTCACATTGGTAGTTGCAATGCAAGAGCCAGTATGACCACAATTTAACCCATATGAATTGAAGTTTATCAATCTAGATACTCAAGTTCTCCATAAAAAAGATCACAAACTTCTAGAAACAGCCCGAGTAGAATAATTCACACAGATAGGAATTTATGACAAAGATCATCATTTGTAAAACTATAATGTTCCCAGAGAATATCAATGATCAAACAAAATTGACCCAGCAAAAGATATAACCCATACTCATTTAACTACCTGATCAAGGGAAATTTCTTCTGTCCACTTCAGAGAATAGGGTGCCTCCATTTTCTCCCCAGCTGGCATTGATATCAAAATATTCCAACTGCACTATTACACAAAACTGCTAAGCATATGACTGAGCCACCCCAAAAAAAGAATAGGGAGAGATATAGACATATATACCCAATTATAACTAGAATAAAAATATACATTGATATATAGAGAGAGAGAAAGACCCATGAAACTAAAAGGACATCCACTTATCTAAACAGCAAATATAAAATTATAAAATACCGAACCTATAATACTAGCAGATAAAAGTTCTTTAACTACTCATACAAGGAAACTCACCTATCCAGACGACAAGTTGGACCATTGCTAGCCCTATCAAGAGTTCTTTTGATGGCTGATTTCCAGTTAAAAGGAAAGGAACCACCCTGAAGAGAATTCAAGGGACAGTTCAACAAGGCTACATGGGATCAGAAAACTGGAAAGTTGGTTCAAATGAAAAGCTTACCCAACCAAAACTCCTGGACAAGTCATTTCCTGTACCAAGCGGAATAACTGCAGTTGGTAGAACTGGGTCTCGGCCCTGTACGTGAAGCTGTCCAAGACACCCTAGGACCCATCCCACAGTACCATCACCTCCGGCAACCTATACAACCAATCTAGTAATTCAAAAGTTCCCAACAAAATGTTCTGGATTTGTCAACAACTCACACAGTATTCAAATGAATTAGATTGCTTTCTTTGAGATCATTTTTGGATAGGTGGAGAAAATATACAGCAAGGTGGATACTTAAAATAAAGGACCAAAAAATTGAGTTGGCCTGATACGTACCACAACCCTCAGCTTTTCACGAGTCTCTTTGGCACAACTATCTCCAAGTCTAGCAAACTTCTCCAGGCAACCCAATCCATACTCAACAAATTCATGAGGCTTCACAATTGAAAGGTCATAAACCTGGCACAATTTGAAAAATTAAAAAGAATTACTCATTCCCCATTAATATGAATCATGACATCATCAAGGAATAAAATAGAAACTTTGACTTTCATGCCAGCCAATGATGATACAAGAACTATGTATAATGTAACCATTTGTTTAGGGGAGAAAAGTTATGGCAGCATAAAACTAAAAAGTTAGGTCACTACCTGGTGTTGGCCCACCGACATAGAGTGTTTGGCAAAATTGACTTAATGAAAACCAAATCTCTGGCACCATTTGCAGTTTTGATACCAAAAATTATTTCAACTCTCAATGTACTTCTATTATTTACTGGAGGAAAATGATATTTCCAATTCGTTAAACCTAGAATATTTTGCTACAAGGAACTTCAACTGCTCTGTGAGATGTCTCCTGGTGACACAATCACATGGTACACCAGAAGTACTGCTCACTAGCTATCAAAAACAATTCAAGTGGAAGCATCCAAGAGGTGTAAGGCCAAGTGAACTAAATAGCAAGCTGCATTTGGACCCTAAGCAGATACTTGATAGATACCTGAGTCTTTGTGCTACATCAAGGTCTGTGTCCTCCCATAATTTCCATTAACATTGCTGTATTTAAAGGGGCACTGTGTTGCAGTCATAAACGACTCAGGCATGTAGCCCGGGACTCAAATTGGAGCAGAACCATTTGGCACAAATAGTGCTAAGGTTAGATCTATCCAGTCAACCCCTCCCAGCACCTTCTAATGAGGATCAAAATGGGTAGTGACCCTTATTCCAATTTTGAGGAGAGTAACTGCCCCCCTAGTACTATCACACTATTATATATCCTCATCGTGGCCAAAAACTTCTTAACTATGAGTAGCCGGATGAAAAAACTGAAAATATACTTAAATACTGGATTAAGAGCAGTCAAAGTCTCTAAGTGAATACCTTCCCAGAAAGAAAAAGTTTGTAAGTCACTGACATTATGTCCTAGAGTATATTAATTTACTTGAGTAAAAATTTAAGTAGTAGCCCACATCGAGCTTCCCTGATGATAAACAAAAAGGGAAACCTAACTGGAGGAAAATTTCAGACCTAGTTTCTAAATTGAGAGCTATTCGCCAAGTAGATTTAATTTTGCTCTTCTATTATGACTTTTACAGAAAAAAACATTAATTTTTCCAATTTTTAAAACTTGAAATTGTCATCAACAACTCCTACGTTAAGTAATTATTGAAATATATAACTGGAAATCTGAAAGGGAGACAATGCACTTTTTGTATCTATGAGCCCACATCCCAAAAAAAAAAAGGAAAGAAGAAAAAAGAAAAAATATATTTATGCAGCCCCAACTTCAAGCTTACTGCAACATAAAAAATGTTCTTCTACTACAAATTTGCTTCCTATCCGGAAAAAAAATGTTCAATTTAAAAAAAATCTTTAACAAAAACGCGTAAAAAACTGTAAGGGAGATAAAACACTTTTTGTGCCTATGAGTCCCCATCCCCCCCCCCCCAAAAAAAAAAAAAAGAAAAAACAAAGGGAAAATTAAATAATAATCAATTTATGGAGACGCAGCTTCAATTTTACTGCAACATTTTGACGCTCTTCTGCCACAAATTTGCTGCTTATCAAAACAAAAAGAATGTTCAAATTTGCACGTCTTTACTTTACTAAAGGATCAACACTTTCACTTCTTCTCCATTAGCCTTAGTGTTGTCATCTAACAACAGGATTTCTTAGTTGATGACAGTCAAATTATCTAATGGACCCACTAGCACAGCAGCAAATATCTTATACATTTGAAATATTAGCAAAACATCCGATATTTTTTACGGGAATTAAATGACATTGGCTTTAAAAGGCAAAAGGCCAACCTAGATGACTAAACCTAAAAACTCCATAAGAGATTTATGCAACTTATGTGTTGAGAACTTGCAGTGTGGTGAGCAATTAACAATAAAGAAAATAAAGAACAATGAACATACATATTGATGCGGTTAAGTAAAATTCTATCTACATCCACCGGAGTGGTTGTTTTCATTGTATCATCCACTAACATGATGCATATCCCTCAAAAGAGGCCCAAAAAAACAAATCGCTTTCAACTATGAAATTGGGAATTCCGCCTAACCAAGATAATTGTACATCCTTACTTCTGAATTCTCGTAAATTTAATGTGAAAAACTCCTCTACATATCTTCATTCTCTATTTTTTTTCCTCCACCCCTCACCCAATCTAACAGCAAGTAAATAACTATTCAAGCATCATCAATAAGACCCCAAGTAGAGAAATGCAAACAGCCGCTCATTTAAAATAACAAATTCAATGCACTCAGAATTAGTGGCAAAGCCACATGATGCTTTATGGGGGCAATTACTAGCAGTCAAGTTTTTACAAGCAATAAGGTTTATATATGTTTTCTTATATTTAACTCTTCTTGTTTTCTCACTATATCTCACCCTTTTTTGTCCCACTACTATTGATTTGGATATATTGAAAACGGCAGTACAATTTTGAATGAATTTGTTGATCTATTTAGCTGATCAAATCAATTGTTACCTTTGGATTTATAATAAGTCCCAACTAATGTTGAGATCCACTATCAACCTTGATGGTTCTCGGAATGACGACAATTGATTAGATCAATAAACTAAGTCAGTAAATTACATCCAAGTAATATTGCGTTATTGAGAAAAACATGTTTAATGACATTGATAATGAGATTACTAAGCACTACTTCTAAAATATGAATACTTGTGAGGATCTATTCCAAATGTATGACAATACTCATTAGTAATAAATATTTTAATATTTATTACTTATTATTAGTTAAAAATTTTAATAATCTCGCTGCTGATATTGCTCCCCTATACGGTAAAAAGCCCACAAACACAAGTCCTACCTTTTTGTACAAGTTTACACATTTTACACAGTTACTATGCCAACTGCACAAAACCCACAAAGAAACTCAAGCTTCTGCTCCAAAATCACACACTTGACACACTTATTCCCAAAAAGCACAAAAACCACAAGCAAAATTGAACCTTTCCAAAATAACAAATCTAACACACTTTTCACCGCAAATGCATAAAATCCACAGTAAAACCCGCACCTTTTATTATCAAAAATACACAAATGACAATTCCTGTCTCATATACATACACAAACATGTATAAGTACTCCCGCCATATTTCTCATTCCATAATTTCTATTTCAAGATCACACATCGCCACCATGTTTAACAACTTATACAAAAGAGAACATCTATCCTTTAATACTATCACCCTCTAGCTCATATATACACACCAAGCATACATACGTTCATCAATATAAGCATGGAGAGAGAGAGAGAGAGAGAGAGGCACCTGCTCTGCACCCATCAAATCCTGCAACCTGGCTTTGAGCTCCGGTCCATGCCGGCCACCACTCCTCGAATTAATAAACACCACCAACGGTGCCTCAGCTAGTTCCACAGTTTCAGCCCCAGCCACATGGGTCGCCTCAAAATGTCTTCTACCACCATCAACGTCCTTAGCCTCAATCGCTTCCTTCATCGCTAGCCTCAGATACTGCGGCACAGTAATCTTCTTCCTCAATTCCTCCTTCGGAATCCCCACCCCAGCCAACGTGCAACCCTTCAGTGAATCTATCACGGACGACCTCGCCGCGACACGAGTCGCCGATTCGGACCCCGGCGGAGAGTCCATGTAGCAAAAATCAAAGTCAAGTAGATTGAAGATGAGTTCAAGGGGTTGAAGAAAATTTGTAACTATATGTGATATGAATGCAGAATTGTATGATTTTCATGTGTAAGTATGTGAGAGAGACAGAGAGAGAGAGTAAGTGGAGAAGAAAGGAAAAGGGAAAGGAAAAAGGGGAAGGGCAAGGGAAAGAGACAAGCAGAGAGAGTGTCGAAAATGGTAAAGGGTTGATTCTGCTGGAGGAGTGGAGTTTTGAAATTTGGTGGTCTTTTTTTAACAGTTGGGGTTTTCAAATTTAGGGATTGGATATACTGTTAATTACGGAAATGCCTGGTGGGGCTAAACTGGCAGAAGGTTTTTATTATAGAATATTTTGGGCAAGGTGGGTCCAATAGTCATCTCCTATTTTAGAAAAATTGTTGCACTTTTTTTGAATTTATACGTATGCTTCCAAAATACTAATACAAAGAGCTTGATTAAAGATTTGGGCGAATTTCATACAGACCCCCTTACATTTGGTCAAATGACACCTACACCTTCTGACATTCCATAAAATGACACGACAATCCCAACTGATGGTAAAAATAGGTTGTCATTAACTTTTTAATGGAAAAATTATTCTTACTCACTGATTGACTATCCAACATAAAACATAATAAACCATCCCTTGCACAAGACAAACAAAGTCCCTTTAATTTCTACACCTCCTATTTTTCATCCTACATGAGTTTGTTGACGTAAGTTACTCGGGGGAGAGTCCATTGCTTCCTTCTTTCAACTATCCTAAAACCTCTCATTGGATCCTTGGAGCAAGGATTTATACTCCTTTAGAACAACCTAGATTTTTCGGTCCTTTGTTTTCATATATCTGAATACTATAAGGTGCAGGCATATTTTTCAATAGCAAAAGTCAAAAATAGAATTCGAAAGATGGGAGAAAAGAACTTGATAAAGGTCCTAGACTTCTAAACTTATAAGTGTTGATCTGCAGAAGAATTTCGTAACGGCAAAAAAAGGTTTTGCCTCGAATTCAAATGATTTCTCGTCTTCTCTTAAGACATTTCTAGCCTAGATCATGCCCAGACCCAAATGCTCTCTTTCTTCTCCCTTACTTTTTATTTTTTTTCAGATCATCCACCCTCTTCTTCTCTCTCCTCTTTCTTTTCTCTCTCCCTCTCTCTCACACACACAAAAACCACCAACACATGACATGATCAAACTTGTTATTAAGATAGTATGAACTACTTTACAACTAAAGGGTCTCTAGTAGAAATCAAAAGGCTTTCATATAGTTAAATCCCACCCATGCCACCCCTTGAAGCTCAAATTCAATTGAGATTACTTATTTTCTTTTTGTACTATACGCTTTGCTAGTGGGATATTCAAACTTCAGACCAATCATTCTTCTTAAATACAGAGTGAAACCTTGGTGCACTCTTTGTAGATGAATATTAAGATAAATTGAACTAATTGTTGATCCACCAAAAGAGTGGAGAATTGATCTTGAAACTTCTGCTTAAGCGAGAGGCCCATATCAATTGATTCATCCATTGGTGCACAATTATTGTGAGATGATGATCCTTGTTTTTTTTTAAAAAAAAAAACATATTCAAGTCTAATTATGATTCCTATACCTAGACGTTTTTGTTTTGCACATAAAATTGATGAAAAGAAGAATATTAATAATCATTTGGATACTAATTGTGGTAGATTGAAGAATGAAATTGTATCTTATAGAAAAACTTAGAACTGCCCTAGGCCCATGCCTTCCTAAAGGAAGCCATGGTGGGAAGGGAAATAAGCCATAAAGTCTAAGTAGTGAAGATATTCAAATGCAAGATTGAATTGGATTGTGTTATCCTACTGTTAATCCTATTTTTTTACTAATTGTGTAATTAAAAATTTCAATTGTTAAGTGGTTTCTTATCACTTTTTTCATTCGCCAATACAAAATTGAGCTAAATTAAACTATACTCATCCCTCCTTTTCTAGCATGGCATAAAATCCTTGGAACATCTTCCTTCTTTTTCTTCTATGTACATACTCTCTATTTTATGTTGTGTTGATTCTAAAAGATAGGCTAAAATATTTTTTACTTTCTCTTGATTTAAGTTAGTAATAGTTGGAGAACTTACATTATTATCACTTATTATTTTCTGGCAAAATGTTTCCATCAAATATTATTATTTTTTGTTACAAAATTATAACTTTGTTAACTATTACCTTATTCCTATATTAAAGTATGGATTTATGTAATACACCCTACAAAAATTCCCAAACAAACACACATGCAAATTATGCTCCTTTCCATTCCCTTAAATCTGAAAGGTCTTTGTTTTCAAACTCTTATGTATAAACTCTGGATAAGAGAAGCTACGTGGGCCCTTCCACCATTGTCTACCTTCAAATATGTGCCATAGAATACATGGAAAGAGCAGACAGATGAAGTCACTTTGATGATCAAATTTATTTCTTTTGAAACTTTAAGTGGGGGAAGCACATGAACATGTCCCAAACTTAAAATAGCAAGGGCGCAAGAACCTTGCGCTTTCATTAAATGAGACCATTTTGCAATTCCCTAGACTACTCATTGCTTGGAAATACATTTTAACGATAAGGGTTTTAAATTCCTTTGATATAATTTGGTGAACTCCATTTACTCTACTAACAAGAAGCTTTCTTTATTGAACAACTTACTTCATCGCCCGTTGCTTTATTTGATATAATTCAAAGTAGTAGATAGTGTACTTGCAATATTTGTGTAGTCACATCCAATATGTCACATGTTTGATATTTTTAAAAAATATTATGCACACATCTATTTTTATTTTTAATCGATGTAAGATCGTAATATTATACTTGTAATAATTAATTGATTTCAACAGAATTAACACATATACTCTTTAAATGATTAGCAATGGATATGAAAACCTTAATCTCATAATTATTATGTTTTAAGGTGCTATGTTTGTAATTAATCCACTGAACTATAATGGAATTGACAAATAATTATTAATAATTATATTACATTAAAGTTTGTGTATTTATATTACATTCTTTTATAAAAATTACATTTAATTATTAAAGGAGATTTAAAGGGCTCTCTCGTAGTTTATTTTGTAATGTAAGGCTAGGAAGGGAAATATACGAAGATGGCGGACTAAGCAATAAAAATAACGCCGCCGGCCTGAACAGAAGACAACATCCACGTGTCAGTTGACGACGGGATGCCGGTGTTCGACGTGAAGCTTACTTCTGTTGTACTTACAGAATCATTCTCGAAGTACTTGACCAATCGAAAAGTCATGAATGCTGAATGGTCTTTTGGTCAGTCAATTAGCGTAGAGAAAAAAATCCAACCATTCGAAATCCTGGGTGTGTTACGTGTGTATGATTCCATCCAAACGAATTGAAATTAAAATATATGAAATAAAAACTGAGATAGTGATATTCACGGATGTATTCTCTTAAAGTCAAACAGTTCAATCAATGTATTTTATAATAGTCAAACAACATTATTAATTTACACTTACTTCTTTTATCTTCCCTATTTAATACCTTTATATATTTTCTCCCCGTACACTTTGATTTTAAGTTACATAATTAAAAAAAAAAATTATTATATGATCAGTACTCAATTTTTAGTATTGTAAAATGTCTTCAGACACAAAATTATTGCTAGTATATCTATATAATAAAATAGTTAAGTGTTTGAACTTAAGGGAGATATATTTTTTCTCCCAAATTTCACACACCCATCACACATTTTTCCTCCCAAATTTCACAAACTCAATACAAATATTCTACAACACATAATTATACATACTCCGATACACACTCACTATACATATTATATATACACTCCAACTATACACACACACTCTAATACGTGCATAGTGTCATAGTTTAATATTCAGTAACTTCAGTCACGGGTATATATATATATATATATATATATATATTAGTTATTGTCTGTGTCTGAAGGCACAGTATAATAAAAAATAAAAAATAATAATCATATTTGTATTCATATCAAAAATCAAATCACAAACATAGAGAAGAGATAAAAGAATTTAAGCATCAGTTTGTAGTGGGAGTGAGAGCTGGTGGTGGTTGCAGCGGTAAAGGTAGTGGTGGTGGCGACGGTAAAAGTAGTGGTGGTAGCGGTGGTAAAGGTAGTGGTGGTGGCGGCGGTGGCAATGACGGCTACAGTGGTGGTGGTGATGGTGGTAGTGGTGGGGGTATTAGTGATAGAGATAGTGGTGGAACGGTTTCAAACACTATTATTTTTTTAAAAATATTTAGGAGAAATAATTTCTAAAAGTACTTTTAAAAAATCACTCCGAACACACCCTTACGGTCCAATTTTTCTTATTAAATTTAAGGTGTTAATATTAACCGTTAAATTAATTTAAAGTAAAATTTAAACCGATGTCAATTACAAATAACAAAAGTCATTTTTTTTAATTTTTGAAATTTGAATTGTAATATATATATACTTATGTGTTTGTGGATATATACGAGTGTTGTCACTGCATTGGTTCAAAAGTTTTGGAACACTATATGTATATATATATATATATACTCTAATGATTTTCAAAGGATTAGGGTCTAGAAGTAATAGGTATAGGGATTGAATCATGGTAAAGGTGGCAATCACAACGATCACCGAACAACCAGATGATAGCTACAAAATTGAAACATGAGAATGATTTGAAGTGTTAAAGGGGGAGATAGAGGAAAGTACGAGATTAGGAGTTTTGGATTATTTTATTGACATTCTCAGTGGTTTTTTAAATAACAATAATAAGAAGCTTATTCATTGAATTGAATGTTCTTTTAGTATCGTGTGGAATGCATTTATGCCTTGGAATTAAAGAATGTTAGACTTCTCCAAAAGTAGACTGCTGGGATTTTTAAAAAAAAAAACCCTAACGGCTGCCGTCCCCCTTCCCTTGAAGCTTGAAAGTTAAAAGTATCTTCATTTGAAGAACAAAAGGTTCAATAGTAGTTTTAGTCTTAAAAGTATATATTTTTATTAATTTAATCTTTATTGTACTAATTTTGTTAGTTTGATCTCTAACGTGTCAATTTAATTCCTACATAGATTGACCGTTAAATTTTTTAACAGAAGTGACAACTTGTCATTTTTTTGGATGGTATCACGTGCCTAAGACGTGATCATTCAGTCAAAAAAATTAAATAATTCATCTATGTAAAGACTTAATTAACACGAATTGAATATTTTATGGATCAAATTAATAAAATTAATATAATAAAGGCTAAACTGTAAAAAAAAATACATACTTTATATACCAAAAATGCTATAAATCCAAAACAAAAATTACATTCTGTCTTTGTACAATGTTTTTTTTACGATGTTTACATCTCACGATGAGACGAAAAAAGAACCTTGAATTTTATGTAAACTTCACTTATTTAACTACCAATTTGTATTAAAACCAGATATCCCTCGAGTCTTTGGCACTGATTGGACCCAAACATGCATAAAAGCTTCATGCATGGAGTCAATACAACACATATGATTCAACTTTCTCGTCTGTTGGCATTGAAAAATTGTATTTGAGCTGGTTCAACTCACTAAAACCGTGTGTAACTATGTAAAACCGTGTGGGTCCAGCCATAATCTCTAATCTGCGCGTGTGTGTGTGTGTGTGTGTGAGAGAGAGAGAGAGAGAGAGAGAGAGAGATTACAGATTATGGTATGATCCACAAGGAGAGACGGAGAGGGAGAGGGAGAGGGAGAGGGAGAGGGAGAAGAGACTGAAGAGAGATGGGAGCAAATGCAGTTTGAGATCGTCTGCCAAGCTAAATTCTTGGATCTATCTGCTGAATCTATTCTTTTCTTTTTTGGAATAAATTTTCTCACCAAGATATAGGTAAAGTTGAATGATACTGGCTGACAGGGTCTATGGTCCATTGTCATTTAGTAGATGCTGAAACCCTCAAAATTACCGGAAAAAAAAGCCACAACAAAAGTAAATTATGACCATTTGGATTGAGGTTTTATAAGTAAGTTATATGAAATGTAACTTTTCTTCTCCTTTGAATATTAGTTTGATATTGATATTTCCAGAAAGGCGAGGACAGTGAATAATATTATCCATTAAATTGAAATTCATTATTATTTGGAAATGTTTTTTAAGTAACTTTTTTTTTTTTGTTTTTTTTAAGTTGTATTTATTCTGAGAATTTATTTTTTTAAGTTATTCAAGTAGTTAATCAGAAGTTATCTACCCTACCTGTAGCATAGCAATTTCCTTCTTTTTTTTTTTTTTTAAAGTAAGCTAGATACAACATTGTACACCCCTATGAATACCATTGTTTTTAAAAAACTACAATTGAAGTCGTGGCTACGATCCCACCTTCGCTTTCTGCAACTGGCCACCCTATTTTATGTGGCTATGTAATTTTAGCTAGACACCACCATTGATAGATCAATCACCATCACCCCCAACTGCCAACACAATGACATTATGAGCATTATATCCCCTATCCGTGGTGTTGTTTGCACAACAACTATTGCCAACACCACCATAACTATCATCACAGCTCACAACTTTTACAGCCTTTTTCCACCAAAATGGTTGCCATCATTGTCACTGCCATTACTCTTCCCCTGAAAATTCCTTCTACGATCCATACTTTAATTCAAAAGATGTTAGAGCATTTTTAATAGATGATTTAAAACACACAAAATTTTCAAATTTTGGTTATTTAGCCCAAAAATTCTATTCTAACAAATTATTTTCAAAACATCTAAAAATAACATTTTACTATAGTGCTACTCTATATTTAGAGTATCGCTGTAACGATATGTAATTTTTTTTATAATATTTTTTTTTCTCTTCCTTTCTTTTCTTCCATTCTCTCTCTTTCTCCCTTTCACTATTCCCAAAAAGAATAACACAAAAGGAATAAAAAATAATATTTAAAAGGAGTAGTTAAAAATATAGAAATTTTGTTGGAGTTTGTATTAAAAAAATGAGTAGCTAAAATAAAAAATATTATTTTTGGAGTATCTAAAATAACTTTTATTGTTGGAGATGCTGATAAGAACCACAACTTAATCTGTTACTCCTTTATGCTAATTTGATCTAACAGCTTATCAATTTACTTACGTAATCCATTGTGTTGGAGTATTTTAATAAAAATAAAGTAGTCTTTATTATTTATCTAATTTATATTTCAATAATTTCACATTTATTTGTATTTTCATTTTAGCTTGATTATACATATTTATTATATCTTTATAGGCTGATGAGTGACAAAGTCTTGAAATTATTATATATATATATATATATATATGTGTGTGTGTGTGTGTGTGAAAATTGGGGCCAAGTCATCTTTAGGGCACTTTTAATGAGTTAAGTCAATCGCTTAAATTTATTTGGGAATAAGTCATATTTTAATAATTTAGTAAATAGTTAAGTCCATAATTTTAATAACTCCAAAATACTCTTCCTTGAAAGTAGTGTTAAATTAATTTTCTAACTTGTAAATTGTTGCCCTTTAATTGACTATCAATGGAGATATGCCAATAATTTTTTTTCCATAAATTTGAAATTCAAATTCAAAGAACGTAATTGGACTATTCTCTCTCTCTCTCTCTCTCTCTCCTCTTTGTTCTCAATGATGATGGACGAATGGCCATCGAATGCCGGAATCAACAGCTTTGTATGGCAATGATCTACGATGATCACCGGAGTTTTGGCTAGTGGCGTTATTGACTTTCATGCAACGGAGGAATATCTTGTGACTCCATTTTTCTTAGATCTTTTTTCAAGCCTATATATACTTAAGAAGTTTATTTTGGGTTTATGTTGACTTTTGTTTTTTTAATGTTGATGTCTTGATCGAACATGATGATCTTGATGTGTCTAACAAATTATGAGTTTATTAGATATCAAAATATTATTTTTTATGTGTTTTCTCTTTCGTTGATGATTGATGACGCATAAAATAGTCTTGTACAAGATCAACAATCAAGTGTGTGATAAAATATAATTAATTGACCAATCAATGACAGTAATGCAAATATTGAGTCAACACACAAATATATAGTTGTTCAGTCCGGATGACCTACTGCACTTCGAGAAACGGCAACGGTGGTCGAGGGACCTTTATTCATAAAGTAAGGTGAACGAGAGAGAGCACTGGTTAGTCCCGGGAGGGATACAATAGCTAGGAGAGAGAAAAACTATGTTTGGAGTGTGTAGAGAGGTGTAGAGATACTCCTCTCAATGGAGACAGTTTACAATTTATTGGTACAAAGCCTTAGTTGAGTTGAGGCGGTGACTTGAGTGCGAATGTACTAATTTTTTGGGTAGTTACAAAAGGTAAATACAATTAAAGAATGTCTTGATATTTGAGAGTGAGTATTTCGATAATTGCTCTTCACGTGCTCTAATTCTTCTTCGGACATTGGGTTGGGTCGAATTCACGAACTGGGTTTGACCTGCCTTTTATCTGACTTGGGCTTCCTTAATTTATTCAGTCTGGCCCGGTTAGATTTGGGCTCATCATTTGCCCCCCCATGCCTTAAGCTTCTGATTGCTTGCGAAAGAAGGGGTTAAGGGCATCAATGTGTTCTTTACTTGGATGAGTAGAAGTTTATTTGTTCCCCATGAAGGCTCTTCATTTTTCTCAATGACGAAGTTTCTGATAACTCCATGGTTAGGCATCCATGACTCTAGTTATCCTTCCCAATTGTGAGTCTTTAGTGAGCCTGAATCTCCTTTTTTAGGGTACCAACCTTCAGAACTTAAAAGGTCTTCCCTTTTTTTTTATTTAGAATTTCCCCTTTATAACCAGGGCTTTGAAAACCCATCTATTCCACAAATCAATTTTTTGTTGGGTCTTCTTTATTTCAAAAGCCATTGAAAGAGAGAGAGTTCATAGGAAAAGTGCATAGAGGTCAATGGGAGAACGACGAGAGGAGGGTCCATGGACGGCTTTACGAGGAAGATGGCTGCAAGGCTTTTGGGAAAGCTTGGCCTAGGCGACCTCGTGACGCCATGGGGGAAATCAGGTGGTGCCACAGATAGGGCATATATGGGTGACACCAATTCAGGCAAGGGCCTCGCTGAGCAGGGCGTCGATGCAAGGGGCGCCGCCCATGGTGCAGACAATGCCATAAGAGGCGAAAGTAGGGGCACCCATGGAGTTGGAGGCGACGCCACAAGGGGTGAAGTGAGAGATATTGCTGGCAATGCCATAGGAGATCAGGACAACGCCTTTGGTGTGGGAATCAGAGTGGATGGAGGCGCTGGCTCCATTGGCAATGGCACCAAGGGCTCATACAACAATGCTTCGGGAGGCTTAGGTGGCGCCTTGGATTGTGGGGCTAACGTCGTTGTAGAGAGAAGAAAGGATCATGCCATGCTAGGCAACGCCAACGCACAAGACGTCGCCTACATTGCACCGAATTCACTGGGTGATGCCAAAGGTGCACCGGGTGTAGACTTGCGTGCAATAGGCGACACCAATGGAGGCTTAGGTGTGCTTGTTCTTCAAACAGATTGGACCTATCGGCCCAAGCCTCCGCTATATGGATTAAGCCTCAAAAAATCTCCTATTAAAAGTCACGCAACATTATTTTAGATCAGGTCATTATTCGAATCAAACACAACTAGACTCCTCAAAAGGTGACTCTTCGATTCTGTCTTGGTTCTGTTTGTTGGCAGGCACCCACTATGACAAGGTTATCATGGGGGAGGCTACTCGAGACATCAAGCGAAATAAGGAGACTGTTGGAGATAATGGCTCAAAGGTGACTTCCATATTCAACTCCATTGACTGCGATGATTATATCGCTCATAGCATATCTTCGTATCGTATCCCTCCTGTTATCATGTGTCGTCGGGCGGAAGAGGATGAACCATTGTGTAGTGACTCCTCGGGTGAGATTGTTCTTTATGAGGATGCCTTAGAGACGGGTTTGAGGTTCCTGATACCTGGGCCCAAATGTAGGGTCCTGGGACATCTGTCACTAGCTCCCGTTAGGTTGGTTCCCAACGGGGGGAAGGTGATACTGACATTCTTCTCATTATGGCGGCTGGTTCACAGTGCTGATGTTCCTCCTCCATTCGAGGAGTTTTTGGCCACATATGTGCTTCTGGATAACCTTTTTCCTCATCAAAGGTGGTGTCATTTCGCCCCGAGGTCGGGCTAGTTCATCACTAGCCTTCCTTTGAACTGTCATAGCTGGAAGTATAAGTTCTTCTTTGTTGGAGTGAGTGGGCCACCGAGGGAGATCGTGACCTTGTGCCTTTGCGGTGGGACACCATCTTGAGGACCAAGCTAGGTAAGGATTCCACTTTCGTTTTTACTTCTAGTCGTCACATATCTATTCTCACTGTATGATTGGCTTCTATGCAGTTTCACCCACATTATTTGCGGATCAAGAGAGTAGGCTCTAGATAGTTTGTGACCATCCTTTCAAGGACTTCTCGGAGATTATGTCTGCGTCAAGTCGTCCCAAGGTTTCTCACAAGCCGAAGAGGTAAGATACATGATCCTTCCAACAGACTCTTGATGGTTACGACATTGTATGTTTTTTGTCTTACACCAAGTTTGCAAGTACTTCTATTGATAGGGCGATGGTGGAGACTGTCTACGCTTCTAGGGTTGCGTCTTTCCCTTCTTCTTCTAAGAGGGCGAGGTTTGATGTCCCCGGTGTTTCTCGGCTAAGGTCTACAGGCTAGGATAGTCTTCGAGAGGCGGGACTTGGTGATGCCCCCACTCTTTCCCCTATTGTGGTACCATTGCCTTCCAGAGTTCATCCTAGTACAACCATTGGGATTGAGGCTGCAATGCAGTCTCCTACAAAAGACTGGGGCTCCGCCTGGCTGTCTTGCTTCTAGCAGTGGTTCGGTGTCCATGCTGTAGGACGTGAATTTGGCCAAGGAGCAACTGAGGGGTTTGTGACCGCCGTAGAGATCCAAGAGGTTGGTTCTCAAGGTTCAGAGGGCGTCATCAACACAACGATGAAGGGCTTTGCTTTGGTCCTTTACTCGTCTTTGATCTTGTACCTGGTTTCCTTCTTTTCATGCTCTGTCTTTTGAATGCATGTAGGTGGCTGCTACTTTTCCTTGCTTGTTTTCAAGTACGATGAAGCTTAGAGAGGCATTCAATGGTCAGGCAGCGAAAAGGCAGACACAGAGGGTTACTGAGGAATAGTTAGGGCTCGAGAGACAGACCTGAGAGGTCGTCGAGGAGCAGTCGAGGTTAGCACACGAGAGAGTTGTCACACTTGAGACTGAGCTTCAGGCGTCCTACGAGAGGGCTGCTTAGTTGGAGGCTGACAGAGAGGTTGCCTATGCGAGAGCAGAGACAGAGCTGCGAGTATCCCATGAGAGGGCCAATGTAGAAAAAACAGACTTTTGAGTAGCTCTTGAGAGAGCTACCAAGGCAGGGGCTTATTGGGAGATCCCAAATTTTTAGAGGTAGTTAAGTATAAAATATTATGAATTTTGATGTGAACGAAGAAGGAATATTTAAGTTTTGTGGTTGATATATATAATAAGTGAAACAAAGGGGAATAAAATATAAATATTTTAACTTTTATGATTCTTTGGTCTTCACCCATGTGAAGACTTTGGAAAAAAAAATAAAAGAGACAAGACAAGGTAAAGAAAAAGAAAGAGAAAAAGAATAAAGAAATTCATGGAGTAAATGAATGGTAGTTAACATTGAATACGTTGTAGAAAAATATGTGTGTGTGTACTGGTTTGTTGAAATTGTGAGTGAAGGAGAATAAAAGAAAGGGAAGAAAAATATATGTGCTTGTGTGTGTTAAGCCGAGAGCAAAGGTGGAAGAGAGGGAGCGAGAAAGCAAATCTTAGTGGGTGTTTTTAGTTCAAACAGAGAGGAAGAAACATGAAACATGAAACAAAAATTAGAGTTATCGAATTCACATAATGATTCTGAGGTACGGGTAGTATGCAATATGCTCTCGTTAAATCTCTTTGCAAAGAGTATTTCTTGATTTATCCTCTGATTTGTATTCCAACTTGTGCTATCATTATTTTATAATTTCGATTGAATATCGTTGAATATTTTGATCTCATTGATCGTGTTTTTGATATCATTTGATCATGTTCTGTGGATATTGAGACAGGATCGTGGCAGCCAACAGCCAATGCATTGCCAGCCAAGAGACCCGTGGGATCAAGTTAAGGTGGGATGATTGGTGAGGTGTCAGATCTGTGTTAAGATTTTGTATGACGTGTGATATGTAAATTTGATATTTGTATCTGTTGAATGAGATACTTTGTGATACTCGATTATTTGTTATTTAATGTCCTTGAGCATATTTTTCCTCGTCATATTGTATACTTTCCTGTTTTATTTAATGTTTTTAGGTTGATTTTAGAGAAAAGATTGGAATGAGATAATCAAAGTATTAAAGACGAGGAAATAACATAATTGATGTTTATTTGTATTGAGAGATTTTTTTATGGTGATAAATTTATTTGCATTGGAAGATGATTTTGATAAATGAAATTTTATTTGGACAATTAGCGTTCTGTTATTTTTATTTGGGTCTTTTTATATCAATTAACGTCTCTGAAAAGAAGAGAAAAATCGGGGCGTTACACTTACTCCATAGGGGAGGAGAAGAAGAGAAATGCTGCTTTGAAAGGGCCGTGGTAGACACCTTTATTGATAGCTATGATGAACTCCAAGGGAAGGTCTTAACAAATTTTCCCACTTATGATTTTTCTGGCTTTGTCTCCTATGAGGCTCCGGGGACTGATGACGAGGAGGCGAGCAATAATGGGAGTAGATCGGGGGGCAGTGAGTGATGTCAGGAGCATGGTATCTTTGTATTTCTGTTTTTGTTGCTAGGTCATGCTTTATCTTTTGTAAATGATTTTATAAACTTTTATGAGATACAAATTTTTTGAAAAAGTATTGCAAAATTTTGTTTCATAATCCAAAGTAAATATCAAGGAAAGTTGACCAAAACAACAATAAATAATCTAAATGGTGGCTACTGGCTTATACACTCACTACTTTGCCCCCAGCTATTGGTAATATTTTTTTAGGTGCTCTGCATTCCATGGATGGGCTAGAATTTTCTCTTCGGGATTCTGAATTCTGTAAGTGCCTAGTCTTATAACTTCCGTGACCATGTAGGGTCCTTCCTAGTTAGGTCCTAACTTCCTTTTCCAGGAGTCTTTGGTAGACAGGATAACCTTTTTGAGGGCTAGGTCCCCGAGCAAGAAGGAGCGAGGCTTCACCCTCGAGTTGTAGTAATTAGTCATGTGACGCTTGTACTTTGTATTGTTGAGTATAACTATCTCCCTCACCTCTTCTACCAAGTCAAGGTTGATGCAGAGACCTTTTTCATTACTGGTAGGGTCATGGTGGTGGACCCTAAGGAAATGTACCCTAATCTTAATGGGTATGACCGCCTCTATCCCATAGGCTAAGGAAAAAGGGGTCTCGCCCGGGGGGTTTGTTGGTGTCGATCAATAAGCCCATAACACTAGTCCCATGTCGTCGCCCTCGCTGGTGGAGGACCCATCCACATATAGTCTCTAACATGATACAATATATGGTAGCGAGTGCGTGGAGGGCTCTAGTGGAGTAGGCATAAGGGAGTCGGGTGCCTCTAGTCTTAGAGTGTGGTCTCTTGGGGCCTGTGAAATTGTCTCCGAGACGTTGTAGGTAGAGGGATAATCCAATACAATGAAGTTCACCATGATGGTGGAGCTTCTTGGCCCTGTCCTTGCGGTGACTAGTAGGGTGATGGAATCCAAGGAATAAATCCTTTCCCCCAAGAATCCAACAAGAGGTGTGTTGATGGGTTGCAATCTCTCCCTACTGAGGTGGAGGCTGTCAGCGGCTGGTGCGAACAGGATATCGGTTGAATTGTCGCTATCAACCAAAATTCTTTTAACCTAGTAGTTGGCTACCATCATGGTTAAGACGAGGGAATCATTGTGAGGGAGCTAGATTCCCTCCAGATCCCTATCTGAGAAGGTGATGATCTCTTTTTTCCCATGTCGAGGTGTCTTTGTTGGGCAAGACTCATGCGACTCTACTTGTCTGGCTTTCTTGTTGTAGGCTTTCTTGGCAGAGTTGGAGTCGCCTCCTCCTCCTAGCCCTTCGAAGATTGTCTGAACTTCTCCGAGGGGTTGCAGCGTTCTTTATCATCTTGGTCTCGACCAAGTGGTGGGTTTTGTCCTCTGCCAGCAACGTATTGCGTCAATTGGCTAAGCTGTATGATCTCCTTGATTTGCCTCTTGAGCTCATAACAATCATAAGCGTCATGGTCATGGTCACGGTGGAAATGACAGTACTTACTTGGGTTTCTACGATTCGGGGGCGGATTTCATTTTTCTAGGCCAGCGGAACGTGGGATCATCCTGTATCTGGAACAAGATATGCTCCACTAAGGCGTTGAGTGGCGTGAAGGACTGCTGTTCTCTCTAGGGTACTGGACTGAGACGGTCTTTGACAGAGACTCTCTCACTTCTCTTTCTCTTACTTTTCGCCTCCTTCTTGTCTTCACGGGTGTCCTTTCCTTTCTCTCCTCCTAGGAGGACTCACCTCAACGGTCTTTGGTGACGTCTTCGGTATTTATATACTTCTTTATACTTGACAACAACTCGGGTATGGTGGAAGGCAACTTCTTGAGGATGGAGAACATAATGCTAGAGGAGCGCAGACCACAATTAAGGCGTCCATGGTTACCTTATAGTCTGGCTCCTTGATCTGGAGCGCCTCATCATCGAAACGAGTGAGGTAGCTCCTAAGACTTTCATCCTGGTCTTGCTTGATGGTGAGCAGGTGGGTGACAAGCTTTTGATGTAGGCATCCCCCAATGAAGTGGGATATGAAATATTTACTCTGCTCTACAAAAGAGTGGATAGAGGAGGGTTTGATCTTCGCGAATCATTGTCGAGCAGACCCCTTCAAGGTGGTGAAGAATGCTTTACACATGATCTTATCAGGCACATTATGGGGTTGCATGAGAGACTTATACGTGTCAAGATGATCTAGAGGGTCCTTGCAACCATCAAAGATCTCGATGACAGACATCTTGAACTTCGAGGGTAGGAGTAATTTACACCATCTACAACAAATGGGGTATTAGTGCGCCTTACCAAGTAATCCACCATCTCGTGCGCATGTGTCTTGATGGCGTTGAGGGTATCACCGAGTTGATTTTTCACCTCTCTGGTCATTTTCGTGCCATTAGTTGGGGACGTCCTCCATCGAGTCATTGTAATGACTTTCATGATTGACATACTAGTTTTCTCCCTCATCCTCTTGCACAGGTACGTGAGGAGGAGGAACACGTGAGCTTCCTGTGTGTCGAGGGAGACTGCTAGGCGAGGGGCACCACGGCGCTGCCTAGGGCGTTCTGGCATGGGGCTCCACGGTGTGGGCAATTTGGTGCCCAGAGTGGAGAGATTGTGGTGCTTCTCTCGTCGGAGGAAGTGGTGCTCCTTCTACAATCTAAGAGGGGACACCTCCCGAGGCGAGCATCAATTGGATGATTTGTTGTTTCTAGTTTACCGATAGTTGTATGGTCTGCAAATGTTGTTGCCTAACCACGGGAGTCGCCGTAGTGGATGTTTCTGCAGGTGTGGGCAGAGACGGAGCCTCTTCCGATTGTTGACTCATCGATCTGGTCGTGATTGTCATAGAGTAGCAAGGTAGTATAAAACTTAGTTGTTTTGCACAGACAACGCTAAACTGATGATGCATAAAATAGTCTTGTACAAGATCAACAGTCGAGTGTGTGATAAAGTGTAATTAATGGATCAATCAATGACAATAATATAAATATTGAGTCAACACACAGATATATAGTGGTTCAACTCGGGTGACCTATTGTATTCCGAAAAACGGCAACGGTGGTTTAGAGATTTTTATTGATAAAGTAAGGTGAACGAGAGAGAGAGCAATGATTAGTCCCTAGAGGGATACCATAGCTAGGAGAGAAAAAACAGTGTGTGGGGTGTGTGGAGAGGTGTAGAGATGCTCCTGAGAGAGTTTACAATTTATAGGTAGAGAGCCTTAGTTGAGTTGAGATGGTGACTTGAGGGGGAAGGTACTAATTCTCCGGGTAGATACAAAATGTAAGTAAAATTAAAGGGTGCCTTGATCTTCGAGAGTGAGTATTTCGATAATTACTCCTCATGTGTTCTAATTTTTCTTACACTCTTCAGACTTTGGATTGGGTCGAATTCACAAATTAAACTTGACCTGCCTTTTAACTAGCTTAGACTTACTTGATTTATTGAGTCTGAACTGGTTAGAATTGGACTCATCAATGATGATGTTGCATAGCACCTCTGTCGGTGTGTTTTCGTGAATAAAACAACCTTGTGCTGGTATAATTTTTTTTTCATGTTACTATTTTTTTATTTGAGCATGTTACAAATGTTTATATTCAATATTACTTTTTTTTTTGTTTGAATGTTACTATGTTTTGTTTTAAATGATACTATTATATATATATATAAAGACACTATGTCCCTTAAAAGAAAAGTGACGCACATAATTTATTTTAATGGGTTCAATTAATTCCAAAAAAATGGACATAATTTAATCTAAAAAATTTCACCCTCTATGAGCATTAAATTTAGAACTAATAATCCAAACAATAAAATTAAAATAAATACAATCACAATTTTATCATTCCATATACAAAGAAACAAAAATCAAATGAGAAGTAAACAATCATAATTAATACAATCCGAATATGAATACATATTAGAAACAATAGAAATAAAGATTTAGAGAAAAATAAATCACTTTCGCTCGTCACTTGTAATAGCCTTTCACTACCATAACCATCTCCACCATCACATGGCCAATACCATGAGGGAAGGATCCCCATGAATATTTTCTTGAGAAATGATGGCATACTGCACAAATAGACACCCTAATGGAAATTGATATTTGTAAGCAATTTTATCCATATTGTAGATAAAAATGAATTTTATTATCAGATTATGGACTAAACTAAACATGATCAATAATAATATTGATTACAAATGCCTTAATTTGCAAAGAAGTCCAAGTTGCACTTGGTCCCTTATGGTCCTTTTCTCTTGTGCAGATGAGGAATTCTACCACAACTTCTCAATACATTGGGCATCACTTGCTCATGTCCCATCTTGATCTACCATGCTATAATTGAGGTCTTTGCAAATAATTTGGGACATAAAATATTTATAGTACAGTTGTCATCTATATTAAGTAGAACAATATCATTGACCTAATTTCAAGCAGAAATTAAACGATAAAATAAAAAATTTATTTTTAGAAAACATTATTCTTGTTTTGAGATAGCATGGTGGTTTTCTTATTTCAACTTCTTTCTCCCAGTTTCCAATAAAAAAAAAAAAATCAAACAGCTAATAAGCATAAAATTTGACATAATTAATTGTTAACATTAGAAATATAATAAAAAAAATATCGAACTTGAATAAATTTGTCCCCAAACTCTTGGAAAGACAGACGAAGAAATATTTCACTTTAGAACCTAAAAACATCAATCATTGCAAGTAGCTAAAGGCTTTTGTGTGGGGTTACAATAGTAGGGAATGTGTGTGAGAGATAGAGACAAAGGGAGACAAATTATTATTGAGGGAGAGGAGATGCTGCTTGTTGTTGGCGGTATACCGTATACACAAAACAGTGCGCGTTCAGAGAACAGTGCATGTTCGTGTTTGTGTATGTGAGAGCAGCAATAAAGACAGGGAAGACATACCTGAGCAGCAACGAATGAGAGAAATGTTCATTGGGTAAAATCCATATAAATTAAATGCCTACACAAAGATAGAAAACTAAAGGGTGGTAAACACTGAAACAAAAACAGAAATCGAAAACGTATCATTTGTGTTTATCAAATTATGAAAATAAAAACAAAAAAAAAAGTTTGGTAAGTAATTTAAGTTATATCCTACATATTAGCTTTATAACATCTCATACGACAGCATACAAATCAAAAAATTCCTTATTCCAACACATCAACTAATTCGTCAAAGAACAACTAAAACAATGTAATTGGATTACCTAAATTCATCGTCATGAGTTTGTTTGTTACCCATTTTCATCTACAACAATTTCTTAATTATGCTAAAAATTTCCCAACCAGCCACACATAAACAATTTCCCAACAACATGCATTTGAATACACACACACACACATATTCGACATATAAAAGAATTCACCCACAAATAGATTCTAAAAGTTTCAGTCAAATTTGATTATGCTTATGTTTTCTTATTATTTAGCACAATCCTAATAATAAAAAGGTGAAAATAACAAGAAAGTATCATTCTTACTTACATCACATTAAGAACCATTGCAAAATCTAGCACTCACAAGATCACATCAGTTGATGTTTCTACCATTAAAAACAAAACCACTAAAAATTATACCAACATTGAAAATCAGCATTAAAACATTTGCACCATATAGTTTCCAAGTGTTTGCCACTAGATGGGGAAAAGAAGGCTTACAACTTATAAGCAAATTCCTGTTACATACTCATCGATATATTTACATGGCTAGCAATGGAACTAATTACCCATTTTCCCCTGCTATGCATGCCCAAGAAGCTTGAGATTGAAGGAGGCATCATACACTCATGTTATACTCATGAAAAAAACAATAATAGTAATTATCTTATGCATTTCTCTCTCTCCATCGTTTTCTTTAAACTTAAGCCACAAGTATGACGAAGAAGAACTGTATACAAAGGAACCATTTTTTTACCAAAGGAAGTATAAGAAGATCCTTTTACCCCTAGCCAATAAGAACCGAAAGTGAATTTCTTTGCATTCACTTCTTGTACCAGCTGCTCATTCAACCCCTTAGCACGGCACAATCTGTTCAATTTTGCAACATCCAAAGCAACATTACATTGCAACCAAAATACTGCATGACACTAGAAAATTAAGATCGACAAAGCAATTCAACATGGTCTAGCCTCCCAAGCACTTCCTCCCTACTAATAGCGTCCTCCTGACTTTCATATAGACCTACATCCGCCAAGAACTGAACACCCACATTCACAGTTTAGAGTATTCTCAAATTAAGATGCCTAACTGATGAACATATCTACAATAGGAATTCAACAAAACCTTTTCAAGCCCTCGTGTCTTGATTACATCGTATTCAGTTGGTCCACCCAATGAAATTGGTTCTGTAATGCCTAACCACTGCCCATTATTCTGATTGTTAAATCTAGGACTAGCCATTTATATTTTACGAGTAGCCCAGTAATATGATTCTGTTATACACAAATTTATTGATAATACACAAAACCAGCAGAAAACCAGGAAATACACAAAATAGATTAACCAAAGAAAGAAAACATCAGACTAAACGTCCTTTTAGCTTTACAGTACTGGGTAAGGAAGTTCAGTGAAATTGAGTCTCGAATTACACATTTCTTCAAAAATTACAGCCAAAAAAAGAAAAAAATGAAAATGAAAATTTGAAAATATGAACAGAGAACTGAAATACCCATACAACTTCAATTGATCTTTTCTTTTCTATATTTTGGACTATGGAACAAACCCTGACTGTAGACATTGAACAAAGACGATACAACAATACACAAAAAATTAATCCCCAATTCAGAGATTAACCCAACTATAGAAATTAAAAATTCTCCTCCATTTTGAGCTCTTCGTTGTAGTTGCTCAGCCATTTTGATTAATTAAGCATCAAAGCTTTGAGCTCTTCGTTGTAGTTGCTCAGCCATTGTGATTAATTAAGCATCAAAGCTTGAAATAAATCAAAGATCTATGTATATTTATGCATATATATACAGACCTGTGTATATATATACACATATCTATGTATATAGAGTTTTATAAACATACCTTCACAGCAATAGAGAGATCGACAGAGGGTTCCATTGAAGTAGTCAGCAACGAAGATCGATTCGTTCAAGCAGGCAGCAAGATGTGAGGGAGCATCGATTGGTCTTGCAGAACACACAGACACTTCACATGCCTCGGTTCGTCGTCGTAGACAGAGAGACAGAGAGAGAGAGACACAGAGTAAGGATGCCTTTTGAAGGCAGGTTTTATACTTCCACAAAAAATGAGCAGTTTTGTTGGTAATAAGGATCGAATCCTAGATCTCATTAAAACCTTTCGGCCCAGCTCGTATGTTTTGTGTTTTGAGTGTTTCTTGGAACACAATTTTTTTGTTATTATTTTTTGGTTTGTTTATGAGATAACTAAAGATGAAACAAAATACAAAAATAATTATCAAACACGTTTTTGTTTTTATTTTTGATAAAAATTAAAAATAAAAACACAAAAGAAGAGACAAAAACACCAAACAAATAACCCCTAAATTTTTTCATAGCAAAATCACTTAAACAATCCTTTATGATCTTTCAGACTTTCATAGATCAAATTCAACTAAATGTCACAAAACTCGTATCAAAATTCAGATCAAAGAGGCATACCCTAAAATTAAAACAAACCCAGATTAACATTTTAATCAAGAGCAATATATCAAGCACATATATTGAGAAATTAATTGAATAAGAAGGAAATTTAAACAAAATTCATATATAAAAAAATTGACCTAGATGTTATGTGCGTTTGTGGAGATGTGGGTGTGCGAGTGCAGGCCGTGAAAAAGAGAAATAGGGAGGGGGTGAAGCTAGAGGGATGTAAAAGAAGGGGGAATAAAGCCAAAGACAGAGAGGAAAGAGGAAGGACGTACACTTATCGGGGGGTTTGGTGTAGGCAGGTGTGTTGTGTCGAGGAAGAGAGAGAGAGACGGAGAGAAAGAATGGGGTTGGTGATTAAAGGCTAGAGGGAGAGGGGATACCTAGTGGGTCACGTCGTTGAGCTGGCAGCATCGCTAGTGGTGGCTGGTGTGTCTCAATCAGAGAGAGGAGAAAAATTGGTTTGAGAGAAAAGGAAAGGAAAAAATGGGGTAGTATTTTGGGGAAGAGAGGATTGATCGATAGAAAGCGACAGAGGTAGAGAAAGGAGAGAGAAGATGGGTCACGGGAGGATCAATATCAATTGTTGATGACTTGAGAGAGGATTATTTTAAAAGGAGATCCGGAGAGAGAGAAAGAGATTTGGGGTGAGATATTAGGTGATAGGCATGATTAAGGAGTCAGAGGCTATGATTTTGGGAGAATTAAAAACAAAAACTGGTATTTAAATATTGAATTGAATTGGGTTGGAGAGTGAGAGTCAGAGATAGCTTAATTTAAGGATTGGATTGAGTTGGGAAATTTAATTGAAAGTTTGATTTGGGTGTGTGACTGAGAGAGGAGAGGTAGAAGAGGGATGTGAATCTAGAGTTGAAAATGGAATGAAACTCTTAGTCAAATTATTGGGTGGGAAAAAAAATTTCAGAATCAATTAAGATCGTCAAATTAACAATCTTGAAATGATCTGAGGCGTTCAAACAATTTTATAAGTTTGAGGGTTTGCAACTTTCTACTTTATTAGAGAGAGAGAGGAGATGAGATAGTGTGTTTTTAAAATGTCTAAGAGATAAGAGAGAAAGAGAAAGTTATATTATAGATATGAGTGTTAGAGTTAAATCCAATTGTGATCTTCAGATCAAAAGCTTGAAAATGATCTGAACCGCAAAAAGTTTAAGACAAACTTTTCTAACTACTTTATTATATAGATGTATATATATACATATATATATATATATATATGTGTGTGTGTGTGAGAGAGAGAGCGAGAGAGTGAGATAAAATAGTTCTAATCTATATATAGATATAGATAGATATGATAGAGAAACAATTTTAATGCTAGTAAAACTCTCAAAATTTAGGAGTTGTTAATATTCAAATTTATTTTAATTAAATATAATTACTAAGGATATTTTAGACAATGAATATCAAAATAGACTTATTCTCAAACAAGTTTTTTGAGTGTACTTTAATTCAAATAAGTTCACAAAGGAGGACCAGCCCCCAAATTACCCTATATATAATGACAATGATGAGTGGACTTAACACCAATTTATGGTGATAATTAGTGGTCCATAAATTGCATAATATTTGTATAAATTATGACAATTATAGGGTTGATTAAATTGAGTTTTAAGTTATAAAGTTTATACTTAATGGGTGTCTAACGGTAAGTATTTCAAGCCTATATATAGAAAGGCT